TAGCAAGAAATTCCTCAAGTAGCAACTTCCATGCAAAGAAATGCATGTTGGTCTTTATGTGAAGTGTCTTGTATTGTCCTGTTTCATCCTGAATTGAATTGGATTATTCAGTTAAATTATTTATTATTATTGTACTGTATCAGCAGCCAGAAGGCCAATAGCAGATATAGCACAAGAGGAGAATACACTCTTAAATATAGAAAGGTAACAATAAAGATACCAAGAAATTATATCGGTAAAGAGGACACTAATACGCAGAGGCAAATTGCCACTGAGTACATCACCATATTTGTAATAATAAGTTATTAGATTACAAGGAACTAAATCAAAATTTATATAATTCAAATGATAACAGTCAATGGTGAGTAAAGGAGGAGAGAAACAGGAAAAGGATACATGAATTTACACTAAATGTAAATTAATATCTAATTTATGAATAGTTGCACAATTATTGTAGAATGTGATAAAGGGAAACAATTTTTTGTTTCAAATATATCGAAGTCCCTGCAGACAACATTAGCAGGTGATGCGCATCTAGCAGAGGGGCAGTTTTTAATTAAAGGCTGTAATTGAACATAGACAAAAAAAATAATATTTCAGATACCAAGTAGGAATTTGAAGACTGACAAACAGTAAAACAGCTTTAATGAAAATTCATTCATGTCGTGAAGCTAGTGCATTTTTGCCACTTAAGTTGAAAACATGTCTAAACTTTGTACTAAGGTTTGTGAAAATTGCTTATCAAAGTGTCTATAAGAGATTGGGTGTGGATTGGAGTCGTGCTATGTAATAAAACAGGATTTCTATGTGTGTTGTACATTTAACAGATGGCATGCCCACATTCGAATCATGTAGGGGCCTATCTTGACAACACTTTTCTTGACTGTTGGATAGGATGCAGAGGATCTGTTGAGTACATCCCTGCCCCATAATTCCCAGGTTTAATTCAACAGACTTTCTTGTGGGGACGCAGTGTACAGCACAATGCCAGCAACACTTCAGTTACTCTAGCAAGAAACTGAACGGTCTTGCTCAGCCATCCCAGCATACCTTTGGAGGCTGCTTGTCAGTCAGCTGCCACTAAGTGCCAATGCAAACATATGAGTGTTTAGTTTATCCATAACATGGACCTCTTGAAAAGTGTCGGGTGGCAGATGTGGCTAGGTGGAGAAACCCTCTTACCACACACTGTCAATGCCCAGCACTGGCTCTGCATGGCTACAGCTATTGGGTATTAGGAGGGCCTCAGGACACGTCTGGTTCTTCCAATGCAGCTAGGGTTCTGTGTGGGACTCTTTGACATCAGGTGGGCATGATAAATAATTTATAACAACCAAGGGACTTTCATTTAGGTGGTTCGGACATATTGGAATGGATGAGTATAGAATACCAAAAGCATTATTGGAAACAAGGATGAGTGGAAAGAGACCCAGGGGTAGCGATACACAAGATTCATAGACCAAGTTAAGAAAGATTTAGAAAGGAGGCCACGAAATGAAAAAAACATGTGCACAAGTGTGGAAACCATTGCTATATGGTACTTGTAGTGCATGATGATGATAACAGAAACTGTTTAAACATGTAACTGTGATAATATGTAAAACCTTTCGTTGTGCTGACTGATAGACTGAAAACACAACTTTTCCTAAATATTTTGCAATGCTCATTAAAAGTTGCACACCCACTTATCATATACGTATCTGTCTCATGGTTACGTGTGTGTCTATCTACCTGCCGGGCTATCTATTCGCCGCCTGTCCATTTACCTAACCGTCTGTCTGTAACTGTAGGTCAATTAACCCGACTTAATCATTCACCGCTCACTTTCGACGATGTGGATACACCATGCTGAAAATTTTGCTTTCTAGGATAGGTCATGTGTGATAGTGTAAATACGAACAGTGAATTCCCAATTTATTATGTGTGTATTGAATGCTTGAACAGGGAATCCGTCTGGCTTATATGATGCATTTCGAGCATGACCAAGAAAAGGACGACAACTTGTAAACTTTATAAGAAGGGTTTTGGGAAAGGGATTTATTGATCTATCATGATTACAACGCTTTAATTTCATACGTTACGTGTAGATGTCGCACTTATCGACTGTCAACTGCAGTTTGTGTTGTTTACAATTTATCGGCAAAGTTCTTGACAGTCCGTGTATTTTGCATAAAAAGGGATCCTCTTGTCTTTCTCGTAGCCTAAAGTTACTCCACAGCAGTGCCAAGTGCGTCTGTGCTTTACTGATAGCATTAAAGTTTTTTATAGTACTGGAGGGTTAATTTAGAGTCTATTGAATCCTGCAGATATAACCCCACTTGGTAAGGATCTGAGTTAAGAGTGATTATATATGAACTGTGATTGAAGTTGAGTTCTCTTGAGTACATAGTAATTGCTACTAGAGTCTCTATTCCCGCATTATTAAATAATACTGGTGATGTTATGTTGAATTTATAAGTCTTTACTTAAGTTTCAGAATCTGTCAAGTAAGTGCTCTTGATCTTAATTAAATCATTTGTTTGTGTGTAGTTGGACGTCAGACAATGAGTCGCTCAACAATAGCAGAACAAGAAGATCTTGTAAAAGAATCTCTTTTCAAATTTGTACGAAAACACATTCCTAGTGCTCAGCTTAGGTAAGTATTTGCAGGTAGTGTATATCACTTACAACGGCTGGAGGATTTGGCATCATATCCTTAAGTGTGGTGGTATTTGCGATTATTATTTGTAAATGACCATGAACACACATTCACAGTTGGCCAGAATTTCCTTTGGCTTGCCAGTATGCCAAAATTACAAGCTGCAATTTTTTTATGTAATTTTGATTTGTTTTAAATATGTAGATTTAGGTTTGCCATTTTAAAACTAGAATACTTGTATGGAGCTAGTTGTAACGATGGTTCCATTTTGGTTGAGTCTCATTTGGTTGTTTAGGAAATCATCCTTTCTTCAGGTGCTGAGGGTGTGTGCCATTTTACCTGTATACTTATGCTGCTTCAGCACAGCCATTTGAATTTATTACATTTTTCTGTGTTAGATATGGCAAGGGGGTTAATCAGTGTGGTTCTGTGAAGAACATTTAATAAAAATTTATTCACGCATATGGACCTCTTTGTCTTGTGTAAAGTGCTAACTTACAATTTGTGGCTTGTGAAAGATGGTTGTTAGGCTGAGGTAGCAGGGGGGACTTCACAGTCTGCTTTGGTGTTGTTTTATGAGCTGTTCATAGCTTGTTTAGATAGTGCCATGCCAGTAATTACTCTAGATATACAAAAGAACTTTGGTTTACTGCTATTGCTGCTGTCTTATGTTGTCAGATATCAGGAAATTTTAAACAGATCCTTTACTTGGCATCAAACATATTCCAGTTCTTTCATTACAGATAATTCCTTGTAGATACTGTTCTGCCCCATTTAGCTGCTCAGTTCTCCTGTGTGTGGTCTGTATTTCATCAGACATGCAAAGGAGCATCAATATTTCACTACCCAGGTTAAACAGTCATATCTGTTGATAGGTTATTGATTCAGTGTTTGAACAGAACTTTGCTACTGTGTTTATCGCAGAGTTGTGAATGATATATCAGGTGCTTTGGATCAGTCTTCAGAACAATGAACAACGTCTGATTACTGTGCATGTAGTGATAGGTAACACCTAGTTCTTTAAATCAATGTCCAATTCTCTATCTTTCCTTGTCAGATGAAGCTTTGCATTGTCTTCTACTGGTTGGTGGGTCACTTGGGTGTGATTAGTAATAATGAGGCCACAGACATTTATGCTGAATGTGTGGCATGTCTTAGCCATGCTGTGTGTTTCCTGTGGCATGATTAAAAGATAATTTTAACTCAGTGGAGCATATGGAGTATCTAATAGTCACTCAGCTAATCATGAGATTCCCCTTCTTTTATGGAATCCAGATGTTCAGCCAACCAACATTCCCTATCCTAAACCACATGAATTCAGCTGACACCCTCTCAGCCTGTTTCCTGAAGACTAGTTTTAATCTAAAGATAGTTGACTTCTGGATTGTTGCGCCATGTAGTCTGGTAGAAGTTTACCATCATTTCAGAGACCCTTGCTGTCTTCATCATCAGAGCAATGTGACCTCTGAAATGTTGGTAAATTTCTACCAGACTACACAGCGCAACAACCCAGAAGACAGCCATCTTCAGACTCACTGCCATGAGAACCTCAAATCTTACTTAACTGGAATACTTCAGGACAATGATGTCAGTGTTTATGATCAAATTGTCAGTATTATAGTATTTTATGAGACACTGGAGTTGTCTGAACTGTTTAAATGTCAGCTTTAGCTCTGGGAAACTTAGGTACCTTTGTTTAAATTTTGCCAGTGCCTTGTTTATGCTTTCATTCCTTTACTCAACTTTTAGGGTATTTATTTGTTTTTGTGGCTCCCATTTAACTTTTGTACTAGTTGACCATCTTTTATGTTATTTTGCATGAATGTTATGCCATTGAAGCTATCTGATCCTTGTCCTGTTTCAATTTTTTTACAGTCTATGATAATAACATGTGAGACACACAGAGTGTACCAACAATAGTCATGTACCCCTGAATAATAGACTGCCCCAACCTCCCCCATGTCATTTGAGTTGAGGTCACCCTGGTTGCTAGGCCACTGCTTATGCCAGTTGTGCACTTTTTATTGAGGTAGTTTTCTGTAAACTGTAAAACAGCGGCTGCTGCATGAACATTTTGGTTTAGCTTTCAGTTTCACATCCATAAGTAATGCAACCTAAGGGCTAGGAATATGAAATTGTTTATGAAGGTAGTTAATAAAAGTACCTTCAAGTTATGTTTGGTGCATTGGTAATAAGTTAATGATGACAAACACAGTGGTCATGTGAACCTCTGAGATTGTATCTGATAAATTTAATGCATTCAGAATCTGTAATTAAGTAATAAGATTTTCCCACAAAGATGATGATGATGATACATATAGCCAGTTGTGAGCGGTAAATGAAGTATTGATGCCAGTGTGGTTCCGTCATATGACCATCTATTCACAGATCAGCATCCTAACACATTAACTAAATTGCTTTTTATTGTTGGACTATGTATATAAAGCTTCTAAATATAATGTTAACTACACAAGTTGGAACAGACACTAAATTGAAAGGAAGAATGGAAACAAAATGCTTCTAGCTAAATAACGCTATTGAAACCACAGCGACTAATCTTGATAAATTCCGAACATAATGAAAGTAGTCTTTAGGACTTGTTTCCGTAACACCTTTAAACTGTTTGTTTTTCCGTCTGGTTTTTAACTTCTTTTTTATTAATTATTTATTTTAATCCGTCTTATCACAATATTTAAAATTTCTTATAATTAAGATAATAAAATATCATTGATGTTCCATATCGATTGATCGATTTACATTTTGGAACATCTTTTACACTTAAATATTTACGAACTTAAAACTCAAATATGATTCCATTTGGTGATGTTTCATGCCATTTGTTTTTCAATTTTGGGCGAGGTGTTGTCTTTTCTTAAATTTTATCAGATGTACATATCGGTCTGTAAGTAGAAGATTGAAAGAAACACTAAAGAATTTGAAAGAATTTATAAAAGAAATTTAGAGAATAAAATGCAAAATATATAAATTATAGTTAGAAAGTAGCAGTAAGATATAAATAAAAATAATATAAAATAAAAGTAAATCTAAAATAAAACATACCCTAGATGTAGGAGTGATTGTTCCGATATGTCCAGAAGTACGACTGTCATCGTATAGGTGTGGGTCAATACTGACTGGTTGCTTGTGAAAGGAGTAAGTGAAAGGTGGCTGTCGGGGTTGGGGTTAATGGTCTGTAGTGCATTGAAGATGGGGTTATTAAGGAATATGTTATTGTTATTCTTTTTTATTGTAACTATAATTTTAACACATAGTCTCTGTTAGGTGTTCTAACATTTGTGGTTGCAAATTTAGGTACAAGTAATGTCTGAAGCTGATGTTCTTGCATTTACACTCTCACTTGTACAGTTTTATATATCAAAATGAGACCTTCAGTTTGAGAAGTGTTATGATGGGAAAGCTCTTTGGTGCAGGAACTTCTAACAAACAGCTTTGAAGGAATCACTAATAAAGTAATATGAAGCTGTTGGGAAAAGTAATTGGCTTTGATAAAAGTAATGGTAGCAGCTACTCAGTACTGGTAAACATGGGTCTGATGTTTCTTCAATATAGATCTATGAAATGATGTTACTTTAAATAGGCCTGCCCTAAAATAAAATGCAAGCAATAATTTTTGAGTGTGTGCTCCACTCTCTCACACTGCAAACAAAAGCATGTGTGAAGATTAATAGAAATCATTTTTGACATGTTTCAAATACATGTAACTGTCCTACTTCAACTGATACTATTTTATTTTACTTTAGAGTTTGCCTTTGTACTGTAACTTCAATGTCTTCCATGTCTGAATGGAATCTAAATTGGACCCACATTTATATGGAGTTTTTTTTCTGCTTATTTGATTTTGACCATAGAATCCATCCTATATGTTATGGTACATATTTATGATAAGTCTTATATATCCGAAAATTATTAACGAAGTCATTTGACAAAGGCAGTCTTTCACACAACTGTTTCTGTTATATTCTTATATGCAAGTTGCAAGAATCAGGAGTTTAAAGGAAATTAATATATAAAAGGCTGATGTGGCTTGCAGGTTGCAGGATAAGCTTCATTGCTTCATTCAGTTCGTGGCATAATTTTTTGTATGAAGTACATTATAATAATATAACAAATTTGAGCAGTTACAATATTTTTATGCCAAATTTGCACTTTAGGATGGAATGTATCCTATTAAACAGAGCTCAGATTTTATGTTGTTTTATCCATATCTCCACTGGCACTGCCACACAAATTAGATTGTGATGTCAGCTGTACTCTGTGGTGGCTGTTTGTAGAGGTAAAAATGTTGCATTATCTGGACAGGTTCTGAAGACTGTGTGTGGTCAATAGATCACAGACAATGAAGCAGTCAATGATTGACAGGATGGTGCTGATGATCAGAGGTGAAAAGAATGGTATGAAGTTGGTTGTGATACATTTGTTGTTAATATACTGTGCTGAAGAGGCATTCACAATTTCTGTCAGCTGCTTGAAATTACTACCAAGAAGTTAACAGAAATGAGCAGAAAATTTTATTGCTGTTATCATGTACTGCAATTGTAGATTTCAGGACTAATTCCTCTTAATGGTTGTTTTCCTCAGTTCCTCCTTTCTTTGATGTACTCCCAACACTGCAAAGGTGTTCTTGAGACCTCAACACATAGGTCGTTCTTGCATTTATGTGAACCTGGTTCATTGTTCCAGGTTGTTCTTGTGCTGTCATTGTTCCATCATAGGCCATTCATGCACTGTGAAATAAAATCATGTCTTCCATCATTGAACTAAGATTGATCTTGTTCAAATGTGATCTGATGTCCCATAGTTCTGCAACAGTTTGTTCTAACATTGGGAGTTGTTTGAACTCATTGTAAACACAACAGTCGAGTTGAATGATACAAACAGACAGACAGACGTGATCAGCCCATAAGGCAATCTTCACTCATGCCAGGGCATGAAAAACACCTTAATAACTTACAAATAAATACATAATAATCAGGCCCATGATGAGCATATCTGCCACATGGGTGCAAGCACATTCTGCCACCCCTATGTTTAAGTACCAGATTTTTATATTTTTAGATTATGAAGTTTAATTATGGGTGGATTTCAGTTATTTTTAACACCTCTTTAACCATGGCTGTCATAGGCAATTGCATACTTTGCTACCCTCTGGTACCACCCTTGATTTTCAGAACTCCAATGCAATGCTACAAAATTCTGTGCTCCCACAGCAAGTTGCCGGCCGGGTGCGATGCACCCGTTGCACCCATAGGGTGGCGCAGCTCTGCCTTGAAATTTTATTGTATGTGTGTGACCTTTTCTTCTAGCTTCTGCTTCCAGACCAGCCTCCTACTTAATTCATACCAGGGGTCCTGTCCCTGGGACAAAGTGCAGCCAGGGCATGCTAACCATTAAGAAGGAGAGGGGGGAATGCAGTGCTTCAAAATTCTGTGCCCCCATAGCAAGTTGATGCCATTCTAATATTGCCACCTCTCATATGCTGCCACCCAGGTACAATGCACCCATTGCACCCATAGGGCAGCACAGCTCTGATAATAATCTTTTGCCTGAACCCATATTATTTATGCTTCACTGCAGTATACTATTGTAGGCCTAGTAAGGTTCTGCCCAGATTGATTGCCGTCTGCTCTTGTACAATATAAAGTGTCACTTTGGATACTAGTAATGTTTATACTTGTGATGTATAAACCAGATGGCAACATATGTTTTGGAATTGTTGTAATAATTAGCCTTAAGTACAGACCTAGTGAGACTGATACAGTTTGTTCTGCAGTTCAATTGATGAGATAGTGCTCAGCTATGTTGTGAGCATCTTAGAAGACCTGGGCACTGAGGCTAGTGTTGAGGAAGCATTTGACGTGGAAGGCTTCTCCGAAATGATGGCAGCATATTTTCCAGAATTCTCAACAATTCACCATGCAGCTGTGTGTCAATGGATGTTTGAACTGGAAGCCACACTTAGCCAGAAAAAAGGAAAAGGTGAGTAGGCAAATATTTCATATGTTGTGGATATCTAGGTCTCGAACCTTGCATATCAGATATCTGGGTCTGATACCTTACATCACATACCTTTGATGTTGTTTCTCCATGTACTGAGGACATACAATACTTCGGCAACTCTGTGATTATTCACTTCAATCCTATTCATTCCTGTGTCCTCCATAGCCCATGAACATGTGATACACAAAAAGTACACTAACTAACTAACTAACTAGATGGCTTACAGAACCCTAAGGTTCATCACCGAAATCACCGATGCCCTCCACCGGACCCTGTCCTGGGCCATCAAAATCCAGTCTCCTTCAACTCCCGTCTCCCATAGATCCCGCCTGAGATTACCCAGGTCTCCCCAGCGGTCTCTTCCCCTCAGGCTTCTCAACCAATACCCAGTGCAACCTCTTGCCCCGCCCATCTCATTCTTCTTGACTTAATTACCCTGACAATACTGGGGGAGGAGTATCATGGTCGTGCCAAAGAGTCCGTCTTCTCTCCTAGGCCCAAATATCCTTCTCAACACTCTATGAAAGTACACTAAAGCCCCACTAATTCAGACTCTTTAATTCTGACTGCCTTCATCTTTTAGGCATATATTTTATTTACAGAGAATGGAGATCTTTTGTAAATGAGAATTTGATGATGCAGTTTGACACTTCCTGTTGGCTTACAGAAGTGTTAAAATACAAATGTAGTGCTTAACATGTTGTTTTTGTTACATTTGATTTGAATTCTTTTTATAACTTTGTTTTGAATACAAACATTTTAATAAGTTTCCACCTTCTTTTTGTCATATTTCTGTCCTTGTACCAACTAACGTAACATGTCACTCAATTGTGAATAAATTTGCTATTTTTTATGATCTGTGATTTGGAACATATGTACATATATTTATGTTCAGGATTTTCACTAATTGGGATTACCCCTCCCTCTGTTGGCCCAAATTAGCAAAGTTGACTATTTTAATCCTGTTTATTCCAAACTTTGTCTGTAGTTTGGATTGAATTCATCTGAAGATGGCTGTCTTCTGGGTTATAGTACTATGTAGTCTGGTAGAAGTTTACCAACGTTTCAGAGCTCCTTGCTGCTTCCATCATCGGGGCAAAGAGAACTCATTGCCCTGATAAAAACTTCAACTGGACTACATGGTGCTGCAACCCAGAAGACGGTCATCTTCGGAATATCCTCCGTGAAAATCTGAAATCCTACTAAGTATAAGTATTTATTTTAGGAAAATGAGAGTGTTTGTTGTCTCTCCAAATTGCATAATTCGTACTTACGTGCCATCGCCTTTCATGGTGAGGAAGTTTTTCACTATCTGAGCTTTATGTTGATGTTTTGAAAAGGACCGAACTCCATGGATTTAGTTAGTTCCGATTTTCTGCCAAGGAGTGTTACCTCTGTGACAGCATGTGTACTTTGGTTCAATCTGTTCCCAACTTCCTCCATAGTCTGATCATGGTATGGAGGAGCAAGACAAATTATTCCTCAGAAAGTCAACATTTGCTACCTACTTTTATTTGCAATTAAGAATTTGCCAGGTGTTAAGGAACATGATGCTTCGGGTTAAGCTCTTGAGATTTGTATGTGAATAGTCACAGAAAGTTTGAATTCTCAAGAGTTGGAAATAGCAGTTTATTAGAGTAGTTGGGGCCTGTGAAATATTTTCTTCTTCAACTTTTGCAAATCAAGCTTTATGGCCTGTCTCAATTCAGAAGTGCTTCTGAAATTATGAATCCATTTAGACATTTGGTAGGACTGCATTGATGGGTCATCAGCCCAGTGGAAGGACTCTACCTACACAGAACAGTACAGCACAGACAGATTTTGACAATATCCATGCCATGTTTTATATGCAAAATTCACCAGCCATTTCTCACCCATGAAGGCTTTAGCAGTCAGATCAGGATTGAGTAGAAATTGTGCAGAGGCAATGGGCTGGTCACTCACTACTCAAGCATTAAACAAGACTAATAAGGATAAATTGCCTTGAGTAACTCTCCTGGAACGGGCCAATGGCCCATTCCTTGAAGTGAAAATGAATGAATGGTTTAATGAAATGAATCCATGCCTTAAGTGGGATTCAGACTCAGAATTCTACTGTTTGGGTGGTGAAGATCCACACCCTAGACCACACAGTCACTAAATTTTCTGCATTCAGAATGTATGTTGGTAATATGACACGACTTTGTGTGAATGTGGAGTTGTATGTTAAAAATTCTAATTGGTCCAAAATTTGGATATCACTGGAATGCTGTATGTTTATGATTCTAATTTGTCTGCTGTTTGATTTCCATTACATTACAGTCATTCAGCCGATGTATACTGTAAGCTGTGACAAAAAGCACAAAATACATACAGATGTTCCAAAAAGAAGTATACACACATTCACTGAATTAAATAAAGACATTTTAAGAAACTAAACCATTACATACATCAGCATTGACATTTAGTGAATTAGCAAATTTGGTGTAGGTGTCAGCTTTGTGGCACAGTTGACAGTGGTGAGCAAATGACTGACAAGTGGCAATCAAAGTTGCTGCTGTGTGTAAATGTTTTTGGGACACTCTGTAGTTAACAATGAACTCTACAGCTTGTTATTATTTCTTCTGTACATTGTTCCCTAATTTAGCCTTAGTGAAGGAAATGTGTGTATTATCTTCAGAAGAATTGGGAACTGTTATTAATTTTATATTGATTCTTTCATATATATCTTAAGCGTATGAACTGTTTTGGTATTGTATCTCACATTAGAATGGGAACTTGGAAGTGAAATTAATATGTTAGTCCATGAATTGTATTTACCTGCACCTTGTCGTGGTGGTGGGGCTTGAGTACCTCAGTGACCCCAAGAGCTACTGGTAGGGCCTCCCTAGCCAGATTGGTCAAGGGAAGAGGTCAGACTAAGACAGGTACCCTGGTACTCCAGGTTGGGGGTTGGTTGCAAGGCTAACAACCTTGCACCGTAAAAAGGAAGATGTTTCGAAACCTCGGACAGACGGACCTAACAGAAGGACCGAATGGAAGAGGAGAATTGAGGAGGCCATGGACCGAATATGGACCAGAGAGCCATAGAAGAAGAAGAAGAAGAAGAAGATGATGATGAATTGTATTATCCCTGCAAGTCCCACACAAAACTACACTTAATACATAAGGACATGAGCTGTATGGGGCATATGACATTATGAAGCTGAGCTGCTTGCTAATTTGTCAACTACCACTCGAATGTTGTATATGTTCAACGTTCTTTTCTCTTGGTATTGTTTGATTTTATTCCTGTTTCCAGATGGAGGCAATAAGTTTTCAAATAAAGACTTGTCTGAACTTGCTCTACTTCCCCTTGCAAACTTGACACCTCGGTCACACAATAACTCTGAGTGCATTAGTGGTGATGTTCCGAGCAAACGAATCCACCAACTGTCTGAGAACAGTGACGGAAGTTCAGACAGCAGTGGGGAGTATTTCTCAAACCAAGAGGTACGTAGCTATTAACTACAGAAGTATATATTGTGTGTATGCTAATGTTGACAATCCATTTGGATCCTGAGGAGTGTCCAAACCAGTGACCCATTGGATTTGTTTTTATCACTTATGAAATATATTGTGAACTGCAATGTTGGTTATGTATTGAAGATGGCTGTCTTCTGGGTTGTTTCTGTATGAACATTTCAGTAAAATTTAAAATAACCAGAAATCTAGTTAGGTTCATTAAGGAATGTAGATTGATGTTTGTTGCATTCAGATTACCAGTGGGATTTATGCCCATTGCTCCAGAATATGGCATCTTGTTTTTTATCAGGACTCGGCCTATGTCGCCACCCAGGTGCACCTGCTCCAGGAGATGTTTCCAGGGGTGTGCATCATTGAGGTGCGACACTGCCTGGCAATTGCAGAAGGAGATGTGGCGCGTGCTGCCCAGCTAGTTTTACACAGGCAGGAGGCAGGCCAGAGTCTCACCCCCAATGCCACAGTGCTCCAGGTGAGAAGCATACAGAATGTGGGGATATTCTTGGACAGTTATCTGAAGTTTAGATTTAATGAATGTAATTCCCTAACAATTTATCGTGGGACCAATAGTTTATCACCACCAAAACAGAAGCTGAACTGACCAAAATTAATTTATTATCATAATTTATACAAAGGTGTTGGTGCATGTAAACCTCATTTGCTTGACCAAAGGGTAAGTTACTTCAAAACCTTTGCAGTGTCGTTGCTGATAAAAGACTCTTGTTATGGGAGATATTTTGCAAAGGTGGTCAATTTTTAGTTTACATTTTCTTTCTTAAGGAAAAAGTTGGCTTATGATGACCTTGCTGTCTTATGTATGAGCCCTCTTACTTTGAACACTTGAATCATTTAGCCAATTTTTATGCAAATTTTGTAGGAAAGCTATGCACCCAAACCTTGTAACTCTTAATTTTCTGAAGTTATTTAGTAGTATGGGCATGATAAGTGTATAAATCTGAGGGGTGGGAGTTAACACTGGTAACATTGATATAGGAAAGTGAAAGGTGTTCAAGAAATAGGCCAACTTATATTTCGGATATTTCTTTGAAAAATGTGACACAATTTCTGTCACGTAGCTTTCACTTTGACATTGATAACTAATGGACCGTTGCAACTAATAATATGTAATTTTGATGATGGATTATAAATAATCTTGTGAGCTATGTATGAATGTTTACAAGTTGCACCATTTTTTTAGGGTTTATGCAGTTGTACAGTTGCAAGCAGTAAGAACAATTCTGACTTGGTGAGGATTTGATCATGTGACCGTCAAAGCATGAGTCAGTATGCTAGTCTCTGAGGTATTAAGTTGCATTCTTGAATTGTAAATTTATGATTTGTAACACATGATTTTAAGCTCTGGAAATTTGTACTGTAAGGAAGTAGGCTTTATGAGTTCTGCTGTGAACACCTGAATATTTCATGACATGACAAGTCATGGTTAATTGCAAGAAATTTATCACGTGAAGAAATGAGAAAATGCTTACACATAAAGGTTTGAATTCAGTACCCTTATGCACAGCTCTTATTTCTCAGAATTATTTCTCAAATCAAGATAAGTAAGAGACACCCACTAATGCTCAGAAAGCAAAGGAAATGATATTAAACAATACAAAATATCCCAAGATTCTTCAATACAGACATATTGGCATTGGTGTTTCCAGTAAGGGCATGTTACATTTAGGTGTTTAAATAAAGAAATCTTAGTAAAACAATTAACAAATTATTTAATAACAATGACATGACTTGGTTCTAAATTTGAATAACTACAACAAACAATACAGTATTTGTCATATTAGAAAATGACTTGTGACATAGTTTATGCAGTGTTCTCCATAAAAATGTTAACAGTAAGTGTACACACAAGAAAATGTGACATCATAATCCTGATCTCAATCAAGTACATAAGTGACCACTATAATATTCAAGTAAAATCTAGCAACAGTGGTGTTAGAACTCTTTCTGAATTGTATGTTCAACCTGAAAGAATAATTACATTAAAACTACACACTAGTCTCTAAAATTGGAATTATTTTGAATAATTCTGAATAAAATCTTGACAAACTATGTGTCTCCATAAGGAAACAAACGTCAAATGTGTCCATTGATCATTTCTATCAGACACACACAAGTTGCTCACACCAGCATTTCAGCAGTTTCATCGTTAACCTAACCTCAATTAGGAAAGCAGTAATGTGCCTGCCGTTTATGATCATCTGTATAAGTCTGTGCTTATGCAGAACCACAGTTTAAACATATTTTTTCTTAATTTGTGCTGTTACTGCACGGATCACGCAATAGAATTTTTTTTCTTCTTGAAGTAATGAAATGTAATATCAGGAAAGGGCTGGGTTGTAGATTCCAAATACCAAATTACTGTCAGAAGTCATGTTCAACTTTGCATTGGATTATAGTCTTTGTTTTTGCGTGATGTGCACAGAATGAATGCATAAAGGGCTGATCATGTCTTCTGGTCTACAGGTTTCAACTCAAGAACCCCTGGACAGCTTTTGATGACATTTAGTATGTGCATAATTCCATTGGAGGTTAACACAAACTCATACATTTTAATTTCCTATAAAGCTAGTTCAGAAAGGTGCAATGACCTGATGACGGAGGCAGTATGACCTCTGAAACATTGGTAAACATCGACCATTCTACACAGCACAACAATCCAGAAGACAGAAATCTTCATTGGATTTATTGTTTGTCAACTGATGATGCAAATTCAAGACTGCATAACACTGCCATCAGAGTGTTATCCTTAGCCATCTACACACTGTTGCTTTCAGCAGTACAGTTTTTGAAAGCACTGCAACAAAACATTTTCCAAAACGCTCTTCAGAGGAATTGTCACTGCATCTTTTACCTTGTGTTTGCTACTGAAACAGCACCCCCTTCAGCTGAGGTTTCACAACCTTGAAGAGGTGAAATTGTGGCAGCAAGAGATCCAGTGAGTAAGGAGGGAGTGGCAGCACTGTCACCTTGGTATCTGCGAAGTAGCTCCAGTGCCAAAGTCTTGATTACCTGATAAGGAAGATGTCCAGTGAATGCAAGAATTCAGGACATTGTACTTCAGCATCATTTAGTGGGCGGACTATTCCAAGTTAATTTTGAATAAAACAATAACACATCCAGTAAATTCTTCATTAGGTTACTTGCGTGGTCTGGAAACTGGATTAATGTGCATCACTATATGCAACCTTCTTTACGTTTGTAAATTAGCTCAGATATTAGTAAAGTTTCTGACTGCTGTTCGAATTTGTTTCAGCCAATGGCACAGAGGCAGAAGGCAGTTGTGGATGACCAGGAGCTCAAGTCTCGAATTATAGCTCGATACAGCTACGTAGACAAAGATGATGACGTTAGGGAGCATCGTCCAGTTGGGCCTAAGTCCGTAAGTACGCAGAATAGTGACCAGAGACTTTATCATCTGCTTTAAACTGATTGGTTAGTTTTAATCCTTGGAGTTTACAGTTCTCTTGTGAATGTGGGTAGTACACGACCCCTGTTTATTTTTAGATCCTCTCTGCCAGCCATCAGTAAGCGGAATCACTTAATGTCTCAGAGAGTTTGCTGAAAATTGTACATAACTTTGGCCTTTTGGGATAAGCCATGTCAAATGTCGGAGGTCAAGTTTTATACCAGCCCCCAGCCACAGAAACCTTAGGAGAAGAATTACTAAAAATTGTTGCGTAATTTTGCATGGATACTAGTTATCCCGCGCAGTTGCCGTGATATATCTTTGAATAATTTCTGTAGTTATCGTAGTTGGTATAATTTTACTGTTTCTGCTGCAAAACTGATAGATAACGTAATTTGTCCTTTCGTGGTGGAACACCCAAAGCATTGCTGGGTATTTTTCAAGCTGGTCAGAGGAAATATTTTTTGCTGGCTTTAGCATTTCTCTTTGTATGACATTTAATGAAAAGTTTGTAGGTATGGAGAATCTTACTTTAAGACATGTCATATTTCAGGAACCAAAGAAGCTAGTTAGGTATCGTGATAACAAAATAGTCAGCTTGAAAGGCGAGAGATTCACGGAGGTGAAGAAGGAAGAGGAAGATGACATGAAGAAGACATATGTGAGCATTAAAGCAGCGAGGCAATATCGTTTGCATTGATATCCAGCATAGTTTTTATGTACCAATGCCACCCAACAGTGGAGTAATGATATTATATGTGGAGTGAAACGTAAATATGTGAAGGTAAGTGTTTTAAGTTTTTCGCTGTTAAACTGAAGCCGAATGCAATATTTGTGTTGTCTTCTTTAGACTCGGGTCACCTCCTCTCACATCATATAGATTATATGGCCTAAGACTGAGCTCTGAATTGTGAACATGGACCATTAAATATTATATTTATCATAGTATTATGAATAAATATAACTGCTGTGGTGGTCTAGCGGTCAGAACGCTGGCCTTGTAATCCTGGGGTCCCGGTGGTGCCCGAATTTATAACTTGTGTTGGGCAAGGCCGTGGTCTAGGCAACACGGAGTTTTCCTCCGGGGGTTTCCCCGGTTTCTCCGTGGCATCCCAACAATTACTCCATTCACACACAGAAGAAGGCAATGGCAAACCACTTCTGGATCATCTGCCAAGAACGTATATGAACAGGTCCCAGTCCGAGAAATGGATGGAAGGATCCTGTTCATAATATGTCACCAACCTCCTGTAAGGAGACGGCATAATAAAGAAGAAGATGAATAAGTCTCATTTACTCGAACATAGTTTTCCAGATAACTGTTTTATGTAAATAAGTAGACAATAATGAAATGTCTGTGATATTTAGTAGGTATTCCCACTTAGGTTAGGTGCAAATGTGAGTGTTTTTTAGTGAGCTGAAACCATTCATACACTGCACTGTTACAGCAGTGATGCGCACAAATGACCCTACCACGTGACTGTCATAAGAAACTGACACTGGTAATGGATAATGAAGGTGCTGGGAACAACGCTTTTGCAATATAATTTTTGTGTTGTCAGACTGATGTTAAAAATATTGTGCCAGCTTGTGTATATTATCCTGTGATTTAGATATTTCACACTAAAATTTGTGAGGACATAGCGGCCAAAATCATGTAAATGAAACGTGTTATATTGTTCTTTTTATCTTATAATAGGTTCACACTGAAGTTACTTGGATAAAACGGATTATGCATTTGAAATTTTTGAAATGCTGTGATGTATTATGTATTTTACTAAATTTAACATACGTTTAATTTAATGTTATTATCGTTGATATTTTTGGAAATATTTATAATTCTATAAAAGGTCATAATGAAGAATTTGAACAGTAAAGGTTAGGAAGAAATTTTATTGGTGGTGGAGGGGATGGATACATCAATATCATGTTCACGTGCTTTGTTTGTGGGTGGAGTCACAGCACCACATCTCGTCTCATCCACCAGTATGTCTGACGAGACCTTTACCTCTCTCCCGATATTATGTGAGATGATTCAGGCTTGTGACCACTTTCAGTGCCCTTTGGTCTGCTTGAAGGTATTGAAGGCTGAGTGCAGACTTTGCAAAAGGAAAGCTGAATGTACATGATTATTTCCAAAACTGAGAGTGACGGATGCCACTAACTCTTGTGTGGTTACATGTCAGTCATTTATAACTTTAGAATCAAGAGTGCAAGAGTGAACAGCAACATTTGCATTTGAAATGATCTCATATGATAAATCAGTTTTTGGTGTAATCTCATCTGATTCCCATTTCATAGATCTGAAAATAATTACGCACATCTTTCTCTGTAGGAGATGTCAATCGTAATATTGTGTCTTTCAGCCATAGGTTTGGCTCCCTTAGTCGCCGAAACATGAATGACCTCACGCTGTTCAACTTTTGGACACTTCCATGCAGAAGGGGTGTTACCGTTAATGAATGTCTGACTGTTTCACGTAGTACAGTCTGCTGATAACAAGCAGTGGACACTTTCACCTCCTGTGAAATGCACGTTGTCAACTCATTTATTGAACAGAATTTCTTGTGTCAGTTTTCAGAACTATTGTGACCAGGGGGTGGGCAAACTTTTTAGCAGAGATGCCAATTTGGGGCACCTGGCTTATTCTGTTTTCTGATTCCACATTACTGTCAGTTATGTGACAATATATATATATGAGAGTTCTCGGCAAACAAAATTTGTATCTTAATTTTTGTGCAAACCATAGTTCGCCCATCCCTGCAAATACATCAGTTAACTGAGAACACTGTGACGTTGATCTGTTGCAGATGTGGTGCAGTGTAATAGTGCAAGTGGAACTTGGAACCTGACGTATTTATAGATATAGAACATAGGTAGTATTTTGATGTTGGTGTGTGTGCCATGGGACACTTCAGTATTGTGAATATGTTTTCGAGATTTTGTCCTGTCGTGGTGTACATACTTGATGTAAACTCTGTCACACGTAGATTGTGCCAGCGTGACATTAGATTCAGATCACATGGACTGCCTTGTGCAGGTTATTAACCGCAAGTATGAATATTGTACATGACAGACTGCAGTCACTTCATTGGTAGCTATCATCTTTGCAATAGGCTTCGAAGCATCTCCGAGTTGGTGAATTTTTTCACAGAAACTGTTCAAGGCCATGGTTTGTGTCATCTCCTTTCTTATGTTTGTCTCCAGTGACAGTTGTTGTAGCTGTCAAGGATTGTGCTTTACTCTTGAATTCAGGAGTATTGTGTCAAAAGAGGCACTGCCTACAAATTCACAATTTGTATTTGTTGCAAAATGAAATGTGCAGCTTCTTTCTCTCTCTCTCTCTCTCTCTCTCTTTAAAGTGGTTCCTCTTATAGCTGTCTGCATCAACTTGACATTCTTTAAAGAAATCATTTCAGACATGTGTCTTAAGTTCTTTAATGCAACGTCACTGTTTGAAATTAATGCAGCAGGCATGGGTTTACTCGTGTTGGCATATTCTTCCTACCACTTTCTGTTTAATTTACTATCCATCAATGTCTACATTTAAATATATCAGTGTCATTATATAATAAATCAAAGTGTAACCTGGGTTGCATATTGCTACTGTTTACGTAATCCACGTCTCACATAAAATAAAAAAGGGATGACACAAGCAGCCGTATGATTGTAGGCTGAAAATTCCATCGGCAAAGTTGAAAGATAGATTATGAAACTGTACGACGTGAACGTCTGTTGTGACCACACTTTTGCTGTTCTTGCAAAGGTTTTGGTACCCAGTATTTTGCTTTTGCTTTCAGTTGAATTCCAGTGTTTCTTTAGATCTGACACGGTATCTCCCAACCTGGAACTCGGGCTTGTCGTGTACAAACCGCTGTCATCAATTTGTTCCTTTGTATATTTAAAAACTTGATAGCTTTTTATTGCATTGTGCATTTTAATAGGATTATCATAAGAGACAACGGTCAGTATTGCCTAACTCTCATGTTACAAGAACCAGACTCCATCCCCACCTTAGTGTCCCCTTGGTGCAGCAGGATTATCAGTGAACATGTGTTTTGTTGATTCGCTAAAATGTCTGTCCATGATCTGGTGTTTGGAGCAAGATTGGTGAACGGATCATCACAGTACGTTCACTGAAGTAAAAATATTAAGTGATACCTTCTAACCATTTTGATTAAATAGAGTTTTAAATTTCCAAAGTGGTTTCAGCTTTTGTCTAGCTTGCAAAGATTGTTAATAGTAACATAATTTAATCAGGCTGTAATATTTAACCTTCTACGAATTTATGTTGCATTAATGCAATGCAGGACTTAAAGTTGTTGAAAGTCGGCGGTAGGTCTGAAGCTTGTTTATACCAAATCTTACTTCTCCATAACTAAGAGTTAGGAGCACTGTGAGAAAACTTTGACTGGTGGAAACACTGACGGCTTTTCAACTGATGATACCAAACTTTATGTGGTAAAATCTTGGTATAATGAACTTTTGTGGATTGACACATTATATTTGTTACATTGAAATTTCACTATAATGAAAGACAATAACAAGACGTTAATGACTTAAGATTTATTGTTTTTACAAAGGTCAGTGCATTTTATTGCATAAATTGCACATCTCCCATTTTTAGTTATATTAATGTAAAACAATCATTCATACATTCATGCTGTTCTACAGAAACTAGAATTGTGTAACATTCGCATTACGCAAATTATTGTGCTTTATTTTTTTTAAAAAGAACGCACGACTTCTGTTTTGACAAAGTTATTGCCATGTCTGGTAGCTTTAGTTTTCAGCTACTGCTGATCGCAGATTCTCCAGTCTCAAGTCTTTTGTGTTCTGTAATCTTGATGGAGGCAGGAGGGACCTCCGGAATGCTGATAAACTTCTACCAGGCTACACAGTGCAACAACCCAGAAGACATCCATCTTCATCTGACATCTACGGTTGAGGAAACTGCATATGAATAGAAAACAGTGGAATCATAAGTGCGTCTGTGATGGACCTAGTGCATTTCTGGCAGCTATTTGTATTCAGGAGGAAGAGTTCAGGATGCTGATCATATGCACTTGGCGAACATATAACTACAGCATGACGTAGGAATACAGTCTTCATCTTCCATAAGGGACTGAACTGCGTAGAACAAACATCACCACTTGCGCACTGTTAATTAGTATTATCATGATTTTTAAATTGCAACATTACAAGGGTTGTCATCAAAATATTTTCATCTTATGGGTCATAAACTGACAAAACTGACATCTAGACCAGTGGTATTCAACCTTTTTTGTTTGCGTACCCCCAGATATAATTTCTCTTCAACTTTGTACCCCCAAAGTTGTTGGTGTATAATTCAAGTTATACATAGTATATAATCTACATCTAAAATAAATTAAATAAATTAAATTACTGATTATTCAGTGTTTATCATAAAATAATATGAGAGTTCTCGGCAAACAAAATTTGTATCTTAATTTTTGTGCAAACCATAGTTCGCCCATCCCTGCAAATACATCAGTTAACTGAGAACACTGTGACGTTGATCTGTTGCAGATGTGGTGCAGTGTAATAGTGCAAGTGGAACTTGGAACCTGACGTATTTATAGATATAGAACATAGGTAGTATTTTGATGTTGGTGTGTGTGCCATGGGACACTTCAGTATTGTGAATATGTTTTCGAGATTTTGTCCTGTCGTGGTGTACATACTTGATGTAAACTCTGTCACACGTAGATTGTGCCAGCGTGACATTAGATTCAGATCACATGGACTGCCTTGTGCAGGTTATTAACCGCAAGTATGAATATTGTACATGACAGACTGCAGTCACTTCATTGGTAGCTATCATCTTTGCAATAGGCTTCGAAGCATCTCCGAGTTGGTGAATTTTTTCACAGAAACTGTTCAAGGCCATGGTTTGTGTCATCTCCTTTCTTATGTTTGTCTCCAGTGACAGTTGTTGTAGCTGTCAAGGATTGTGCTTTACTCTTGAATTCAGGAGTATTGTGTCAAAAGAGGCACTGCCTACAAATTCACAATTTGTATTTGTTGCAAAATGAAATGTGCAGCTTCTTTCTCTCTCTCTCTCTCTCTCTCTCTTTAAAGAAGTTCCTCTTATAGCTGTCTGCATCAACTTGACATTCTTTAAAGAAATCATTTCAGACATGTGTCTTAAGTTCTTTAATGCAACGTCACTGTTTGAAATTAATGCAGCAGGCATGGGTTTACTCGTGTTGGCATATTCTTCCTACCACTTTCTGTTTAATTTACTATCCATCAATGTCTACATTTAAATATATCAGTGTCATTATATAATAAATCAAAGTGTAACCTGGGTTGCATATTGCTACTGTTTACGTAATCCACGTCTCACATAAAATAAAAAAGGGATGACACAAGCAGCCGTATGATTGTAGGCTGAAAATTCCATCGGCAAAGTTGAAAGATAGATTATGAAACTGTACGACGTGAACGTCTGTTGTGACCACACTTTTGCTGTTCTTGCAAAGGTTTTGGTACCCAGTATTTTGCTTTTGCTTTCAGTTGAATTCCAGTGTTTCTTTAGATCTGACACGGTATCTCCCAACCTGGAACTCGGGCTTGTCGTGTACAAACCGCTGTCATCAATTTGTTCCTTTGTATATTTAAAAACTTGATAGCTTTTTATTGCATTGTGCATTTTAATAGGATTATCATAAGAGACAACGGTCAGTATTGCCTAACTCTCATGTTACAAGAACCAGACTCCATCCCCACCTTAGTGTCCCCTTGGTGCAGCAGGATTATCAGTGAACATGTGTTTTGTTGATTCGCTAAAATGTCTGTCCATGATCTGGTGTTTGGAGCAAGATTGGTGAACGGATCATCACAGTACGTTCACTGAAGTAAAAATATTAAGTGATACCTTCTAACCATTTTGATTAAATAGAGTTTTAAATTTCCAAAGTGGTTTCAGCTTTTGTCTAGCTTGCAAAGATTGTTAATAGTAACATAATTTAATCAGGCTGTAATATTTAACCTTCTACGAATTTATGTTGCATTAATGCAATGCAGGACTTAAAGTTGTTGAAAGTCGGCGGTAGGTCTGAAGCTTGTTTATACCAAATCTTACTTCTCCATAACTAAGAGTTAGGAGCACTGTGAGAAAACTTTGACTGGTGGAAACACTGACGGCTTTTCAACTGATGATACCAAACTTTATGTGGTAAAATCTTGGTATAATGAACTTTTGTGGATTGACACATTATATTTGTTACATTGAAATTTCACTATAATGAAAGACAATAACAAGACGTTAATGACTTAAGATTTATTGTTTTTACAAAGGTCAGTGCATTTTATTGCATAAATTGCACATCTCCCATTTTTAGTTATATTAATGTAAAACAATCATTCATACATTCATGCTGTTCTACAGAAACTAGAATTGTGTAACATTCGCATTACGCAAATTATTGTGCTTTATTTTTTTTAAAAAGAACGCACGACTTCTGTTTTGACAAAGTTATTGCCATGTCTGGTAGCTTTAGTTTTCAGCTACTGCTGATCGCAGATTCTCCAGTCTCAAGTCTTTTGTGTTCTGTAATCTTGATGGAGGCAGGAGGGACCTCCGGAATGCTGATAAACTTCTACCAGGCTACACAGTGCAACAACCCAGAAGACATCCATCTTCATCTGACATCTACGGTTGAGGAAACTGCATATGAATAGAAAACAGTGGAATCATAAGTGCGTCTGTGATGGACCTAGTGCATTTCTGGCAGCTATTTGTATTCAGGAGGAAGAGTTCAGGATGCTGATCATATGCACTTGGCGAACATATAACTACAGCATGACGTAGGAATACAGTCTTCATCTTCCATAAGGGACTGAACTGCGTAGAACAAACATCACCACTTGCGCACTGTTAATTAGTATTATCATGATTTTTAAATTGCAACATTACAAGGGTTGTCATCAAAATATTTTCATCTTATGGGTCATAAACTGACAAAACTGACATCTAGACCAGTGGTATTCAACCTTTTTTGTTTGCGTACCCCCAGATATAATTTCTCTTCAACTTTGTACCCCCAAAGTTGTTGGTGTATAATTCAAGTTATACATAGTATATAATCTACATCTAAAATAAATTAAATAAATTACATTACTGATTATTCAGTGTTTATCATAAAATAATATTTTTTTTTTAAATTTCACGTACCCCCTAAGATGTCTTTGCGTACCCCAGGTTGAATATCACTGATCTAGACTACAGTGTTGTAGATAATCTGTATGCTTGAGACATGTAATGCATGTTTAACAAAGTATTTGAAAGAAATGGTGATATTTTTAATTCTGAAACACTGCATGCATTTATTATTTGAAGCTTTCATGGCGACTAAGTATAAAGTATAAGGCTAACAACCTTGCACCGTAAAAAGGAAGATGTTTCGAAACCTCATCCTCGGACTGACGGACCTAACAGAGGACCGAATGGAAGAGGAGAATTGAGGAGGTCATGGTCCAAATACGGGCCGGAGAGCCATAGAAGAAGAAGAAGAAGTGTAAAGAATTGGTGAAGATGGTTCTCGAAACGGTGCTTTCTCCATTATACCACCTGGTATGGTGAATAGCCCAAGAAGAATTCATTATACTGAATACGTTGATGGTACGGGGCTGTGTGTGTATCTGGGTACAGCATTGAGGGGTCGCCAAGGGTTAAATTTTACTGCATTACAATGAAATTTAATTATTCATTATAGTGAAATATTTTCCCATGCGAGGACGTGGCACTTTAGCAGAGGATGAACAGTACTTTTGTTATACCGGTGTTAATTATGCCAAGGTTTTACTGAATCTATGTAAGATACATAATTACTTCATATTGTTGTATATCCAAGTGCCCTGTGTTCAATTCCAGTGCTTCAAAAGCGGAAAATCTGTGAAATTGGTTTTATATTTCAACAATTTTGTATGGTTAGAATTGTCCCTGAAAACTGGGACTTAATGGAATTGTTATAATAAATAATAAGCAGTAACACGATTTTAATTCAGTTTCTTTAAGAGAAATCTGGGCATATTCGAGGCACTTGCTAGCTAAATAAGTAGTTTCAGACAAGCTTTACTGATTTTAATGGGTAAATATTTTATACATGTGCAATGTATGAGATCGAGAGAGATTTTGTATACATTTTCTCACAAATATTTGACTGAATAATGGTTATGTAAGAAAGTGGTTTAATTGTAATCTCATGTTCTATTTGTCTTGTTATGTGGTAGACAAATGAAAAAATGTGTTAGCCAGATATTTAAAGTAGAGAAGCGTGTGATGAACTGCGTTCAGGAACTTGACAAACGTGAGTTCAGAGTGCTGTAATTCCACTTTTTTTTTCCTCCCCAGTCATCTTAGCTTCTTGTGGCTGCTGATTCAGCCAAAATTAATGTTAAGGTTTAAATTTGACTTAATTTCACTTTTTATTTAAAAAGGTGTGTTTTAATGAGTTGCAGTGAGGGTTCTCCATATCAAAATTCATCAGAATGTGATACAAGGAAAAGAGTTGAAAGTCTGAGGCAGACGCATGAGTCGAGGGCTGTGTAGGATTACAGGTTGCTTCTTGAGTGGAAGCGTCGTGGTTCTACTCTTCTCGTCTTTTCACCTTTCTGTTTTGTTACCACGCTTGTCTGTGACATACAGTCGTCTGGTTTTGAAACTTCGTGATGACGTTCTCATTTGTAAAAGCCTGAATCTCAGTATTTATGCTGCATTTATTAATTTATGGTTTTAGATTGTACTACATTTTTTTGTATGTATGACAGTTTTAGTTTGTTGTTCTAAAGGATTTAAATAAATCAAATTATATCAAAGGTGTTGGTGCTCTGTGATTCATTTAGACAGGTTGGATTGTGGGCCATATTGTGGCGAATGTGGGAGAGAAGTGGACGTCTAGTCCTTTTCCAGGATGAACCAAGGTTCTTCTGTAACATTAGTCTATGAGCATTGATGAAAATACTTGGTGGAACAGAAGTTTTTGTGAGTGATTAAATGTCCCTTCATGAAACTACTATTACTGCAGAATAGTTTCGCTCCTCTCTTATCTCTTGAAATGCAAGGCAAAGATTTTTCCACTCGGATATCGATCCTCGTCTTTCCTTTGACATTTTGCTAATTTCTCTGATTTCCACACCTGTCATTGCTGTAGTCCATATTTTGGGTAGTCTTTTTCTCTTGGCTTTCTTTCATTTATAAATTCTCATGTCTGCAACTTCAGTTTTGTTCTGTGATTTTATATTGAGAAAGTGTTACGACAGATTAACTTTCTATCTAGCAAGTGTAACCGATCAACCCTGCAGTTCCCTTTAACTGCAACCTACTTTTAGGGCTAACAAAGGGAACCTGGCAGAACCCAGCTTAGGATATTGTTTTCAGGCGGCTAGAAGTATTAAATTTAGTGCTGAGGTTGAAAATACCATCTCTTCCCCTGAGCGCCTACATGGCCCGTAGAACAATTAAATTTTAGCGAGTATTGCCGTATCCTCACATGGATTTTTCAGGTCAAAATGGATATGTGAGCAGACGGGCAAACCCTTACATTTGACTTAGAATTCCTGGAAGTCCATCACAGAAATTACTAGAAGGTTTCAAAGTCGATTTTTTTATCGCGAAATTCGAAGCTCGTCAGCCTGGTGGTCAGAATTGGAAGTTAGTATTCAGTCGAAAAGTTTGGATCTGTGAAGGGTTAGTCGTGAATCGTTGGCGAGGTTGTGGACGAGTAGTCACCGAGATAAAACTGAACAGTACGCCAAAAAATGAGAATTAATTGAAGTTAAGCGGTTCGTGAGTCACTTTAATCAAATGGTTTTTGGACTGAATACAGTGACACCACCCTGAACAGTGTACTGTGACGAAGATTAATAATGCAGCGCGTAACTTTTAGGTTAGGTCAGAGTCATGTTCTGATAAATTCGTAATCGATAGGAAGATTACGTCAACAGCGCCGTATCAGTTATCCAAAGGCTTTCAGTTATTCTTACTTTGTCGTCGTCACTGATTCTGTGAAGTGTCAAAAATGGTTCTAAAGCCGTGAATTTGGAGGTTATGATACGTACTTACCAGTGCTTTAATGTGAACTGTAGACCTTACAACTTTACACCTGAAACCCTGATTTCGCATCCTTCGATACGATCGTGTCCCGTAGATGGACCAAGGATTTGGACAGTCTGTGATCCAGCATCATACCCCACGGCGATCAGTTGTAGACTATTGAAGCGATAAGGTAAGACCTGGAAAGTTACACTTCCAGAGCAGCTGAAATTCTCTCTTGTCATGTAACCCAAGTGTTCATTACACTGACGACAAACTAGATTCCGTACTGGAATACACAGAGTTTTGCATACTTTGTACCTTTGCATTCTGAAAGCTCCTTGCCGAAACAGAATAAACTGTAGTAAATTACGTATATGCCAGTATTGACCACAAGTAGCATTTACATGAATCTGCCAATATGGCAGACATTTTAAAACCTAAGTTTATGTTTTCAATGTATGATAAGGTTTATTCTTAAAGTATTACATCATTAACTTCTTATTCACAAAAATAAAAGCTGTTATTGTCACAGAATATAAGCAAACATGTGTTTTAAACGTTTTTTCTTCAATCTCCATCGACTAACTTCTCTACTAGACAGACACAGTGTTTATTACGTGCACATCATTAAAGAAATGCAGAAGATGAGAGAACCTTAGTGAAAACTAGAATGGTACTTGAGTTCGCGTCCTGACAATGCACTTCCCAAAATTCCATTTTTGTATTATCTGCCAGTTTGTCTTCTTCTCCAAAGTGGTCTCCTAAATGAGTTTTTCTAGCCAACATTTTGTTTGCATTACTCCTATGTTTTGTGTGGTCTTGGCTTCCTTCATTTAATTATCTTAATAAAACCAGGTTAAGTGCAGAAACTTAACAATTTTCTCTCCATTTGCTCCAATGAGGCAAAAAGATTATACTCAGCAATTTCTTTCCAGACGCCTTCGCCCTCTGCTTTTCTCCGACATCAAGTCTAACACTAATATGAAACTGTTTCCACATGTTTTGGTCTTAATTTTTGGAAGTATTTTTATTTGTAGTAAAAATGGGATGTTATCCTGATACGTAGGAGTTGAGGTGGAATACTTGGCAAGATTCTTCACAGCAGGTTTATAACTAATGAATTAGTTGGAAGTTAATAACTATTCAAGAAGTGCTCACAAACCAAATGTCCATTAACATTACCACAAAATCTGTTATAAGCCACTTCAATCCATTCCACATCTTCGTTTTTAATACGTGGGCTCACGAGTTATCCATCAACGCATTCAAGTGTCCATCTGACAGGAACAAACAAATGCACGATTTTCATTTTTTGTCACTTGAATACTTCACAAGAAATGTCCAAAAATGTGTACAAGCCTATACACTGGCCTCCTCCTCCTTCTCCTCCTGCTCCTTCTTCTTCTCCTTCTTCTCCTTCTTCTTCTTCTTCTTCTATGGCTCTCCGGTCCGTATTCGGTCCATGGCCTCTTCAATTCTCCTCTTCCATTCGGTCTTCTGTTAGGTCCGTCTGTCCGAGGCTTTGATTGAGATTTCGAAACATCTTCCTTTTTAAGGTACAAGGTTGTTAGCCTTGCGACCAACCCCCAACCTGGAGGACCAGGGTACCTGTCTTAGTCTGACCTCTCCCGAGGGAGGCCCTACCAGTAGCTATGCTACCGTACACACTGGCCTTAACACAGGAAACTTGAAATGCATTACCCAGAGTTAATTTAACAAAAGGACTAATGGAGGAAATAAAGAACATTTGTGACGAATGTAAAAATTGGAAGGTCACAGATGGCAATCATCTTAAAGTATCGTAGACTGGGAAGTGTTTTATTTAGGTCTCATCTTAAATGGTTTCATATTGGGGTTTTCTTAGAAATACCACCTGCAGGAATGTAAGAATGAAATTTGAGCATTTTTAATCAACGCTGTTGAACACACAGGCAGTAATAATCCATCAGTTACGATCCAACCCTGGCGCGTTTGAATACTAGAGCGGTACTCTAACCCCATCTGCCCCCTGTTAAAGGTCAGACATCTAGAAACAGTAAATTATTAGGTTGTGTGTCCTTTTTGTAATGTGTTATGAGTGTGATCAAATTATCTGCATATTACGACTCGAGAACGGCTGTAATTCTGTACGGAAACAAATTCTTCCTTTGTTTCAGCGTAATATGGAATAAAAACTTTTTTTTCACGTTTACGAAGCTATGAGCATGTTATCTGTCGTAAGTGAAGTCCTGGTTAAGGCATCAGAATTGGCACGCCGTATTTGACAATTTCTTTGGTAAACTAAAACTGTGGCTCAGTTTTTAGGGGGAAAAAACCATGTGAAATTTCCGCTGGCGACTGGCGGTCCTCGTCAGTTTATATTCGCGCTGTGACACAATCCTCGGCGCGTGGCGCAACGGTCGGAAGGAAGCGTCTTACACAAACACGCACTTTCACTGGTTTTGCTAATCGCGGATTTTGAAATGAGCGTGACCACTAGGCAGTAATCTTCAGCGTGCCCTGGCCAACGAGCATTTATTTCAGTTCCTCGGCAAAACTCGTGTGTGTGTGTTGTTCGTTCATTCTCTAGGTGGCATTGTTGCTGGCGGGTTTCGGTATTGCTTTCAGCTGTTGGTGCTACTGGCAGAATGGTTGGTATCTTCATTTAGCTATGTCGGTTGTTCACGAACTCGTGGCGTCCTGACGCTACGCCATGGCAGGGCAGTGCGATCCGGCCGTTCTGCTACGGGCATGTCGGCGAGGCGACGTGCACCTTATCCAGACGCTCCAGCGACGCTATGGCACGGAGTCTCTGCTGCGTGTGCGCGACTTTCGGGGAGCCACTTGCCTGCACCACGCTGCGCGCGGCGGCCATCTTGCGGTGCTCAGACAATTGACTGTGTGGGCGAGTGGCACGGCTCCACGGACG